CAAATAAACAGAAAAACCTCATGGGAACCTCAGTTCCAGAGTCCCAGGCACTAAAGTTTGATCAGATGTGGGTCTCTCTAGGCTCCAGTTCTCGCTGCTCACTCCCAGAATCTCTCCCATGGAACCCCGGATCCCAGAGGAGATCGGCATGGGGACTTAGACCAGGTGTGGGGACCAGAGGTGGCATCCCCGCCTCTTCTCCCTGACTCCCCAGATTTCAGATGATGACTCTGACTCCAGAACCGTGAATTCTCATCCCAGGGTGACACCCCAGAGCTCGGATAATGGGCAGTTGCTAGTCTGTGAGGCGTCTAGCCCAGCACTGGAGGCCCCCATCAAGGCCTCATTCACCGTGAATGTTCTGTGTAAGTGGAGAACTGGGCCAACTAGGGCGCTGAGGATGGGGAGCAGGCACTGGGGGGTGTAGGGTAATCACAGGGATTATGGAAATTCAGGCACTCAGAGAAACATGGGGTTTTAAAAGCAGGTTGTGGGGCCTGGAAAGAGTGGATGGGCTACTCCAGGCCCATTGAGTGACTGATATCTCCCAGTCCCTCCAGGACCCCCTGTCATCGAGTGGCCAGGCTTGGATGAGGGGCATGTGCGGGCAGGACAGAGCTTGGAGCTGCCATGCGTGGCCCAAGGGGGGAATCCCTTAGCCACACTGCAGTGGCTGAAGGTGAGGGCAGACGCGGGCATGGGAACTGTGGGGAGAGCGGAGGCCGGGAACTGGTCCTGAGCTGGCCCAGGCCTGTCCCTGTCTCCAGAATGGCCAGCCGGTGTCCACAGTGTGGGGCACAGAGCACACCCAGGCCGTGGCCCGCAGTGTGCTGGTGATGACCGTGAGGCCAGAAGACCATGGAGCGCGGCTCAGCTGCGAGGCCCATAACAGCATGTCTGCAGGGACCCAGGAGCGCAGCATCATGCTGCAGGTCACCTGTGAGTCCTGGTGCCAGCTGCCCACCTGTTGGTCTATGCCTCAGAGAACCATCTATGTGTGCCCCCAAATTATGCCTACTGCATGCCAAAGATCTCAGCATGTGTCTCCAGTCCTGTTGTTCTCTCTGGGCTGGTCTGTGAGAAATTCAGCTCAGCTTAATGTCTTCCCTCTCTGTCCCTGCAAGTCCCCCTAGAGCCATTACTATCCTGGGATCTGCATCCCAGGTTGAGAACAAGAACATGACACTCTCCTGTGTCAGCAAGTCCAGTCGCCCACGGGTCCTGCTACGATGGTGGCTGGGCTGGCGGCAGCTGCTGCCCATGGAGGAGACGATCATGATGTGAGGCGGGGGCCAGGCTCCTGGGTCTGAGCATGGGGGATGCTGAGGGCATGACTCGTGGATTGGGAAGGGGGTGGGTCCAGCAGCCTGGGGACTTTCTCCTTGAGGACCAGGGGTCCAACAGAGGGGGAGGTAGAGATGGCTCATGTGTCCCTGCTGGAGACCGAGATGTACTCAGGCCTCTAGCACGATGGATGGGGGTGCTCCAGTCCCCACATCTGAAGCTCACTCCCTGCCAGGGACTGCATGGTGGTTACATCTCCATGTCCAACCTGACATTCCTGGCACGGCGGGAGGACAATGGTCTGACCCTCACATGTGAGGCCTTCAGTGAAGCCTTCACCAAGGAGACCTTCAAGAAGTCGCTCACCCTGAACGTAAAATGTGAGTGTCTGCCCTTGCCCAGCAATGCCCCCAAGCCTCAGGACCCAGCCCAGAGAAAAAGTCACTCTTCCTGCCACTCCTCTCAGATCCCGCCCAGAAACTGTGGATTGAGGCTGCCCCAGAGGGGCAGAAGCTCCGGGCTGGGACCCGGCTGAGGCTGGTGTGTTTGGCCATCAGGGGCAACCCAGAGCCCTCCCTCACATGGTACAAGGTTGGTGCCGCGCCAGGGCTATGGGGGTGGCCAGGAATGTGGGGGAAGGACCAGGCCCCCTTCTTTCCTTGAGAATCTTGGGCAATCTTGGAAAAAGATTAAATTTCTGGAAAAGTACTAGAGATTCTGAGGTTTGGCAGGGAATCAGGAAAGACACAAATGCCATGAGAATTAAATGGAATCCTAGGAAAATTCT